CGCAACCCCACTTCCCGAGCCCCTTGGGGGACCTCGTACAGCAGCCGATTGATCCAATCTATCGGGTAGCGCCCGTCCTCCAGCGGGGGGGGGTGCCGTACGACCTCGCTGGCTGGGACCTCCACCCTGACGCCCTCGAGGCTAGTCCCGATGATAAGTCTGGCGTCCCCGCCAGTGCCCCGTGCGTCGAGCCCCTCGCATTCCCCCAATAGAATAAACCAAGGACTCGCCGGGGGCGCGCCGTACGCCTCCTCGGCTCCCCGAGGGTCGCCCGGGAGTATCGGGCAGACCTTCACGAGTAGGGGCTCCTGAAGCCACCCGTGGTGGGCGATCCGATCGCCCGGGGCCCCGCGGTCGGCAGACCGTGAGCGTCCGCTGGCCCTAGCTTCCGCGGAGCGTGTGCGACGCGGCTGCGGCCCCGAGGTTAGGGCCTGCGCCCCCGTGGGCTCCACATCGACAGATGGGGCCACGGCGGGCGGTGGCGGTGCAGCGGGGGGAGGTAGAGGCGGGGGGTAGACCGGCTCGGGCGCAATGCCAACCCCATCGGCAGCGTGCGCGGTCCAATCGCGCACCCTGGCGGGGCTTGGAGCCCGCGCCCGCATGCGGCGGCGCAGGCCCCCGAGGATCCCAGGTTGGACCGTCGCCTCGACGCGCACGGTGTGACCCTCGTCCCGTCGGAGATGTTCCCCGCACATCGGGGCCCCCCCGCAGCTACCCTTCGCCATGCGGAGACAAGTGGGGAGGCTGCACTTGCGGCCGATCAGGGTAGACCGATACTTCTGCGCATGGTGGGCGCAGAGGTGCACCTGTGCATTGAGACAATGCCCAGGCCGAGGAACATCCGACACCTCCGCGTCCTCCTGTAGCAGGACAGTGGCCTCCTGCATCCCTCGGTCGCCGCACCCCTCCGGCTGGAGGGGGCGTGCGCCACCCGCGAGCTGCACCCCAACTTGTGCGGCCTGGCAGGGGCGCTCCTCCGCCTCCACCTCGCTCTCCGAGTCGATGTCCAGGCGGCGATAGCCCGTGGCGTCGGTGATGTAGCGTGGCTCCGGCCGGCCCCGGCACAGCCATCCGAGTACCGACCAGGGTGAGCAAAGCAGCCACTTGACGACCCCGAATACCTTCCGGAGTCCCACGCCGACTGCTCGGCAGGCCGTGGCCCTTCCGTGCTCAGCCAAGTCCACGATCTGTGTGTGGTCAATGGCCGCGTACTGGTCGACGTGCATGGGATGCGCCACTGGACAGGAGGCGCACTCGACAGCACGACATAGATGCACATTCCCTGTCTCCTCGAGGTTCAGCCGCCACTTGCGACTGGTGCACCCCAGGACCTGCCCGATCTTGATGTTGAGCCCGTGGCGGTCCAATCGGTACCGGTCCGCGAAGTTGCAGCTGATGCGGGCCACCTGCCCGTGCTTACGCAGCAGCACGTGGTTGTGCGCCCGATTGGTCCCTCGGCCGCGGACCCCCTTTGTGTAGAACTCTGTCTCCACCACGCCGCCCAAGCCCGGCCCGCGCCAGCGCACCAGCAAGGGGGTCGGAGGGGGTGGGGGAAGATGGGCGCCAGGCCCATCCCCTCCGCGTCGCTGGCAGCACCGGGTAATCTGGTACCACGCCCAGCGGAGTCCCCCGGCAGCCCACAGCATAGGCTGGGCTGCGGTGTTGACGATGAAGGCCAGGGCACCCAACACGAACGTGAAGATGCCTAGGGCAAAGCATAAGACCGCGGTCTCCCACCAATACCCAAGCATCTTAACGCCCAGGCGGTCGACGGCGGATCCAAACCATCCGCCACTCGTGCGGATCGTGCCCGGGTGGTCGGGGGAGCTTACCCACGCTCCATAGCCCACGACCTCGAAGACCCAGGCTGCGAAGCCCCAACCGGGACCCGGCCCTGCCTCCGGGGGCGGTGTAGGTGGCGGCGGCGGCGGTGGGGGTTCGCTCCGGCCAGCCCACCAATGGGGCAGGTGCGGGACCCAACCACTCCACCCCCAATACCCGTCCGGCCCACGCGGCAGGTCAGGCTCACCATCGCCCGTCCGGTTTCCCGGGGCGGACGGCTGCCCAGGCGCGCCCGTGGGCTCGTTGTTACCTCCGTATGCCGGCGTAGCTGGGCTGCCTGTGGGCTCGCCCTCGCCTACGCGCCCGATGCCCGCGGTCGTGGTCGTTGTAGTCGACCCTGACCGCGGCGGCGGTGGGACGCCCGGCGTCCCCGGGGGCTTGGCCTGCGGCCCTCGCCCCTTTCCCCCTGCAGGCGCGGGCTTGGCGGGCGGTCCTCGCCCCTTGCCTCGCCCCCCACCGCCTGCCGGCGGCGCTGTCGGCCCGGGCAGGGCTGGCGGCGTCGGCGCTGGGACCTCATGTCCCCCGCGCCCGAATGGCAGCCAGCCAAGTGCCCCTTGGACCGTAAGAGCGCCGCCCGTAACCAAGATCATCAGGTGCGCCCCCAGGAAGCCCACAGCCATGGCACCACAGGCGCGCTACCTAGTCCGCGGACTAGCACGGCTGTGGTTATGGCCGCCCCGCGGCCCCCTGGAACACCCGCGCGTCGGCCAGAGCCGAACGCTACGGACCCAAAATGGCTACCTGAGCCCACACCCCCTCCCACTTAACCTGCAGTCTACAACCAATCAGACTATACAATATCTCGCAAGACATTCTCATGCTGCTAGACATCCGCCTGGACGCCGAGGACGCGTGAAACCAAGCGTCTCGCTCGAGACATCCTCAACAAATCCTGGCGCTAGACCTGTGCCTGGACAACCTGGAGGCGTGAAACCAAGCGTCTCGCTCGAGACACCCTCAAGACCTGGGCACGTGAAAACAAGCATTTCACTTCAGAGATCCTCTGAATTCTGGTCCCCAGGAGAGGACAATATATAACACTAAACAAACTGTCGCTCGAGACATCCTCAATACATTCTGAAAAGCAAGCGTTTCGCTCGAGACATCCTCAAACATAATTCCGCCGGCCTCCTTTAAACTCGTTATTTATCCCAAAATAAGTCCGCCAGCCTCTTTCAAGTCGAAACCGGGGGTAACAATACTAAAAGAGAACCCTGGGCCTATGCCCTTTCCGGGAAAAAACATGAGTAACTAAGTGTACCCCTGAGTCACTAAGGAAGACGCAAGGTCCAAAAGGAGACTCTGGGCAAAGGGCTTGAAACGTCGGCGGAGCAGCAACAACATGACATGCCCCCCGAGGGACGGCGAGGTCCCGCTCAGGTCCGCGCAGTGCCTCACTCCGCTGACCCCCAAGCAGCCCTCGAAAGTGGCGAGCCCACCAGCAGCCCTCGAAAGTGGCGACAGTTTTGCAGATCGCAGCCCCCCCAGGGACGGCGAGGTCTACCTCAGGTCTGCGCGGTGCCTCACTCCGCTGGACCCACCAGCAGCCCTCGAAAGTGGCAACATTTTCGCAGATCGCAGCCCCCCCCAGGGACGGCGAGGTCTGCCTCAGGTCTGCGCGGTGCCTCACTCCGCTGGACCCACCAGCAGCCCTCGAAAGTGGCGACAGTTTCGCAGATCGCAGCGGCCCCCAGGGACGGCGAGGTCTACCTCAGGTCTGCGCGGTGCCTCACTCCCGGGACCCACCAGCACCCCTCAAAAGTGGCGACAGATTTGCAGATCGCAGCCCCCCAGGGACGGCGAGGTCTGCCTCAGGTCTGCGCGGTGCCTCACTCCGCTGGACCCACCAGCACACCTCAAAAGTGGCGACAGTTTTGCAGATCGCCGCCCCCCCCCAGGGACGGCGAGGTCTGCCTCAGGTCTGCGCGGTGCCTCACTCCGCTGGACCCACCAGCAGCCCTCGAAAGTGGCGACAGTTTTGCAGATCGCCGCCCCCCCCCAGGGACGGCGAGGCCTGCCTCAGGTCTGCGCGGTGCCTCACTCCGCTGGACCCACCAGCACCCCTCAAAAGTGGCGACAGTTTCGCAGGTCGCAGCGGCCCCCAGGGACGGCGAGGTCTGCCTCAGGTCTGCGCGGTGCCTCACTCCGCTGGACCCACCAGCACCCCTCAAAAGTGGCGACAGTTTTGCAGATCGCACAGCCCCCCAGCGACGGCGAAGAGAGGGCAAGAGGAGGCGGGAGGAGGATGGAGACGCGACCGCGGTGCCCTATTCGAAACGAATACCCAACCAAAGAGGGTTGGGAAAACATGTCTGGGCTTTACACCACCACCCCTCCCTCCCTCAACGACATCATCATCGTCATCACCGACATCATCCGCGTCGTCGTCATCAACGTCAGCATCCTCGTCATTGCTTTCCTCCTCCGTCTCCTGCTGCTCATGCTCGCCACGCTCTACCCACCGCTGCCCCTCATCCTCGTCAGCCGTCCTTCTCCTGCAAATGCGTCCCTGCTCGCCTCGCTCTCCCCCCTGCGCTCCCCCCCCTTCTCGTCTTCCCCTCCTCGTCCCTCTCCCCCTCCTCCTCGTCCTCCTCCTCCCCCCTCGCACCTCAGGCACCTCCTCCTCCTCCTCATCCTCCTCCTCCTCGCCCCTCATGCTCCCTAATGTCCTCCGCCACCTGCTCCTCAACATTCTCGTCGTCCTCGTCGTCGCCGTCTTCAGGGTCGGCGGCACCGGCCGTAAGGCCATCGCAATACTTCGGGGGTGATGGTACGTGAAGTCCTGTGACAGACAGAGGATGGCGCGAAGTATCATCGGAGTGACTGTAACGTCGCACATGGTTGCACGTGTCCTCTTCCGCACTCAGAGCATTTTTCCAAGGCGAGAGGCCACCGCGGGTCGGATCCAGAAATGAGGAACATCAGAATAAGGAGGATGACAACGACAAACAAGCGGCGAAAGAGAATACGGAAAGAGGACAAGAGAGATGGGCACGAGGATGCCTGAGACGAGGAGGCGAAATGTGATGGGGGAGGAGACGAGGAGGATGCGAAAGACGCCGAAGACAACGAGGATGATGATGAAGACAAGGAGGCCGAATTAGAGGAGGAGGACGAATCTGATCAGGAGGTGGGCAGGACGAGGAGAGCGAGAGCGTGAACGAGTGTGAGGAGGACAAGGGTGAGGCCCTGGATAAGACCAGCATGGCGCCAGCAAAGAGGCTCTTATATTCAATGGGCAGCAGCGGAAAAATACGGGTATGCCACAACATCAGACGGTGCCAAACCACGTAATCCAAGCTAGATGTCCCACCTCCTCCAAGAGGAGAGAGGGGGAAAACTAGGACGAGGGGGAGGATGGTCGTGAACAGGCGAGGTTTTTCAGGAGGTTTTACCTTTGTTCGGGAGTTCTGGGTTGTCATACTCCTCTTCCTTGCACTCCTCCTCTCAGCAGGCTCGATCCCCCTAGGAGGACTAAGGAGGAGAGGAGGAAGAATGAGGACGAGGAGAAAGCAAAGGCCACCAAAAGGCCCAGGTTTGCCCTCATTACCCCTCTGAAACCCATGTGAAAGCTAGCCTCCCCATGGTTGTGTTGGGATCTTCGATTATCTTGTAGGGGGTCTTGGGGGGGGGGGCCCTCGTCCTTGTCATCCTACTCGTCTAGCTCATCCTCGCCTGCTCGATCCTCCTGCACATGGCCACTCCTCCTCCTCCTCCTCTTCCAGCCTCTCTTCTCTCCCTCCTGGGTGTCTCCGATCACCGGGATGGCCGCATGCCGCCACAGCCGTCAAACAGCTCGCTTGGGCCAGGGCGGAGGTCTGCCAGCTGCTTAGGAGAAGCTGACGGCCCACGCTCATACGGTGACGCTCGCGGTCTTCCCGAACGCCTCGGCGCTGATGCGTTTCATCATGGCCTTCGTGCGCCGTGGTGCGTGGGCAAGGCGCTCCCGCGAGGGAACAGACGAAAGGAAATCGGATGCGCGATGAATCAGAAGCGAAGATGAAACAATTCTGGACGCTTCTGCTCCTCCGTGGGCCTCTGGAGGCCCCCAGGAGCTTGGGGGGTATTCTCGGACATCCGACCAATTAGTAGGAAAGAGCCTATTCTGCCACGCCCAGATCCGACTCGAGGCTTTCAGGCTGCGGAGGAGAAGGAGGAAGAGGAGAACAAGGAGGAGGAGGAGGAGGACAAGGAGGAGGAGGAGGAGTGCCGGTCCTTTTTCTCAGGCCAGAGGATAAGTTTGTTCTCGAAAGCGGCTTCCAGCTTGCAAGCGACCCGGAGCCACGCTCCGCCCTCCCTGAAGAAGATTAATGTGCAAAAAACCAAAAAGAGGAAGGGAGACAGGAGGGGAAAGGGAGGTGAAAGGCTTGGGCCAAGCACGGCATCGGACATGTTCTCTCCCCATGCCGTGCAGCGGCCGAGCGTTCTGGACAGGCAATCGCGTTCACAGAACTAGACATGCCGGTCCTTTTTCTCAGGCCAGAGGATAAGTTTGTTCTCTCGGGCTTCCAGCTTGCAAGCGACCCAGAGCCACGCTCCGCCCGATCCCACACTGTGCCCTGGAGGCCGCATGCTTCGGCAACCCGCGAGGCGACGAATTCGGAGCTCTCTGATATTTTCAACACTCTGCGCTAACCAGCGCGCAATCTGGCTACACAATTTGCTGGGGTATTCTTCGGCGATACGGTTCCACCTCACACCATTTGGCCCAGGGCCCTGGAGCACGCGGTGGGGCTGAGTAGTCACAGAACAGACGCCTCGCGCGCTGTTGCAGCGCGCGCACAGGGCCGGTGGAGCCAGCACACAGTTCCACGATCGTAGACGAGTGGGCTTTCTCCAGGCGGTCCCGAATTTACACATGTCGAACACAGCATCACGGAAGCAAGGGCTTTGCGACAGGTGGCGCATGACAGGCTCCTGCCACGCATAACTGCTGAGGCGGTTCCCACATATAACGGGCGCACCGTGATGGATACACGCGCGAATTATCATGTGAGTGACGGCCGACGTCGCGTTCCCCACAAGGAGGCGCTCTAGCGCCTTGCCTTCGAGATGCGCGTGGCCATAAATATGGTTGGGACTCCTGTAATAGTCATGCGATGCCTGGGGCCAAGTCGAGCACGGAAACGCGGCAAACACGGCAAGGACGAGGCGGCTGGAGATCCAGCCCACGATCGTCTGGCCAACCACTTTGGATGCCAGATCAAAAAACTCGGATTGGCGAAAATCCATCTCAAGACTGACACAGTGAAGCCTACGGAGCGCCCGGGCGACACCGCCCGAGCCTGCAAAGAGATCAAGGTGGCACGCTGCAGCCCTGCCGAGCTCACTGCGCAAAGCGTCGCTCAGCTTGGCCCTCACCACGCTGGCAGCCAGCTGCCTGCCCTGCACGGGCGCGTCGCCGAGGCGCCGCAGGCGCCCGGCCTTCAGCGCGTCGTCGCGGCCAGGTCGGGCGGGGGCAGCAGTGCCAGGCGCCCGTTCAGCACGGCCGCGGCCTGCGCCTCCACCGCCTCGCCGTACGCCTGCACGCGTGGCAGCGCCTTGCCGAGCTCGGCGAGGTACCGGGTGTGCTTCTCGTACCTCAGCGTGCTTTTCGGGTGGGAGTGTCGGAGGCGCTCCTGGATCTCGGCGAGGGTCCGCCTGTGGTACAACGCGTCGTCGCTGGCCGCGCCGTGCCTCACTTGGCACGGACGAAGGGGCGGCCGCCCTGTCATGGCAGCCGCCCGCTCGAAGCCCACCCTGAACTCTGCGGCGGTGAAGTTCCACCGGCAACCGGTCTCCCCCGCCGCCTTCTTCAGCCGCCAGAGCTGCGCCTCGATGCCCGCCGTGAAGACGCCGTCGAGCAACAGCCCCTCGCCCTTGTGCCCCGTCTTGCTTCTCGCCACGGCCTCGGCGGGGCACAGCAACAGGCCCCAGTTCTTGATCCCTGAGTGCGGGGGTGGAGGGATGAGCGACCGCCCCTGGAGGCCCATGATGTCGCTCGGCAGGCGCAGCCCCCCGTCCCACGCGATCGCCAGGCCGAGCCCGAAGTCCAGGCCCAGCGCCACGACCCCCGCCCCCAGCAGCGCGGCGAACTCGGGCCGGGGCAGCGGCATCCTTGCCTGCCCAGGCGCCAGGCGGCGGAAGCCCTGGAGGGCCGCGCGGGCCCGCGCCAACTTCCCCTCCCCGCCGCGCCTGAACTTCGGCTCCTCGAACGCCAGCCCCGACAGCAGCTCGTCGCCCCTCTCGTGGTTGTAGCCGTCGAAGTAGAGGCAGTCCAGGTACTCCACGAGCGCGTCGTCGAGCGCCGCCCGGGAGCTCACGCCCCTGCGCCGCGCCTGGCACCACTCTCTGCACGCCCCGACCTCGCGGCTGAGCGTGCCCGAGCGCCCGGCGGCCGCCCGGCAGCCGCGCCAGCGGCGCTGTCGCCGCCGTCGCGCGGCGGCGCACAGCCCAGCGCCCGACCCCCTCGACTGCCCTCGCCTGCGGCGCTGTCAGCCGCTCGCCCAGCGCCGGCAGCGCCGCTCTGACCAGCCGCCGCCCAGCCCCCGCCAAAGCTGCTGGGGCAGGCGGGCGGGGGCTAGCCAGGCGTGGAGTCCTCGCTGCCCTCAGAGCCGGCGTCGGAACTCGAACTGCTGCTGGTCTCTGAAGCCGGCAAGCCGCCCCAGGCCGCGAGCTCCCCGCGGGCGACGCGAGCGGCAAGGCCGTCGACGCCGCCCTCCGCTTCAGCATGCAGACGGGCCGCGCCGCCAGGCCGAGGGCCTTCCAGAAAGGTGTCCCCGAGCCCGACCGCGCCAGCCTGAGGCCGCCCCAGCCAGTCGAGCTCGCCGCCCAGCAACGCCTCGTTGACCGCTGCGTCCAAAGCCGCAGCCGCGTCGAAGGGGGCCGCCGCGGCGGGGTCGAAACTGGCGCTCCGAGGGTCGGCCCGCGGGCCTCGAGCCGAAGTGCCAGCCGTGCGGGACGGACGAGCGGCAAGGTTGAGCTCCGTGGGGATCCACCAGACGGTCACCGACAAGTCCCCGAATATGCTTAACGCGGCGGCCTCGCGGCACGTCTTGTTCACGCGGGGAGCGGCCGCCCGGCCCTTCCCCAGGGCCAGGACGAGGCCCAGGCTGTCGCACAGCACAAGCAGCTTGCGCCCCCGCTGCGAGACGGCCCGAAGATGGTGTCGAACGCCGATCACGACCCCGTGCCCCTCGAGACGGATGATGCTCTCGGCTCGGCTGAACCTGCCCTTCACCTGGAGCTGCCACGACTCGAGACTGCCGATGTGCTATGTCGTGATCTGCTCGAACGAGACGGACCCCGAGCACATGTCCCCGAAGGCCCGGTCGAAGTCCGAGGCAGGTGGCAGAGCCCGCGCCAGCGGTGAACCCGAGGGAACGCTCAGACTTCCCCAGCACACGAAGGAGACGCGGCAAGCGGGCACTCCGAAAGCCCAAGGGCGCGTGCCCGGGCTGCGACCGCCTCGGCGACGCGGTAGCGCCACCGCTCCGCCTGGGCGCAGGCCCGAGCGACATCGCGCGGGTCCCAGGCGCGGCTCACCACGCCGAACCCGCCCGCGTCGTGGTCCGTGGCTCCGCAGGCGTCGGTGGCCAGCGCCACGGGGTCGGGGCGGCGGCGGCAGTCCACGTAGCCGAAATGACAAGCGCCGCGGCGAATCGGAGCTCCGCCTCCACGGCGTTCCACAGGCGCCGCCGCCGCCCGCCGGCCCAGGTCGCGAACCGGTAGGCCGCCGAAAAGATCGACAGCAGCTCCCGCCGCACCAGGGCACCCCTCGCGAAGTGGCCGAGGGGCACCCGCATCTCGTCGCCAGTGGCCGAGCCGCAGTCGGCGACGTGCGGCAGACTCAGTCGAATGCGCCACATGCGCCGTCGGCTCAGGCCAACGCGGCCCTTCGCCTCGACGAACACCAAGGCCAGTGAACGTTGCCTCCGCGCTGGGCCCGTCGACCCCTTGCACGTCGGGCCCACCGCGTCAGGCGAGTCGCGCGCCCGCTGGCTCGCCTCCACGGTCTCGGCGTAGTCGAGCCCGACCACTGCGGTAGACGGCGGCCGCGGGCCCCTCCTCGAGGGCCGGCGCGGGGCGCCGGTCACGCGCCAGCCGCTCCCACGCAAGGCCACTCCGAAGCACCTGCGTCTCCGCCATCTGCTGGCAGAAGAAGAGGCTCCAGCTCCAGCCCATGGCGAGGACCGCCAGCCGAGGGGGCGCCTTCCGCCAGGCAGGCAGCTGCCTGGCCAGTTCGGGCCTCTCCGCCTGGAGCTCGTCAAGGTCAACGACAGGCAGCGCGAAGTGGTCGCGCAGCCCGGGGGGGGGCGGCGATCCTGTAGAACGCGTCGTTCACGCCCATCTGGGCCAAGTGGAGGGGCTCGCCCTCTGGAGCGGTCAGGCTGCCCAAGCCCCAGCCGTCTGCAGCTCCGAATATGCCGGGGGTCGGATGCGCCTGTTCGCCACCCGCGTGTCCGCGATCATGCGCAAGGACCGCTTGTCGCTCTTGAAAACAAAGGAGATGCCCGGCGCGCTCTCGGCCCGCTCGCTGAGGTCCACTAGGCCCCTCTTCAGCAGCTCGCCGACAAAGTGGGCGTAGGTCTCCTTGCAATGCACTAATTTTGGATCGGAGAAAGGACGAGGACTCGGACCATCGGGCGGCCGTTCGTCGCGAAGAAGATGCTTCTGCCATCCTACCCACAACTCTCGGGCACGGCCTGTCAAGCAATCAGCGCCAACGCACTGCCCGCCAGCGCCCGGCAGGGAGACCAGCCCCTCGGAGTAGGAAGCTCGGCGCACGGTGCCTTCTGCACATCCCGGCAAGTGAGAGAGCACAGCTCAGCACGGGCTGCCGCTCCCGAAAAAGGTGGGGGCCCGGCCTCCTGGATGATCTCGCGGACGTGGTCGATGCCGGCGAGCTGGGCGCACGAAGCCTGCAGATCCTGTCGGGGCGCTCCATGTCCGTGCAATGAATTCGTGGCGTGCAAAGCCTCAGAGAGCCACTGCATCGCGCGCTGCTGCTGTCGCGCACGCGAGCTCACCGCGCGGCAACCCCGACTGGCCAAGTCACGGCCGACGTGGGGCACCGGGCAGGGCAGCAGCTCCCGGGCGACAACCATGGGCTACTCGCCCTCGCCCCCGCCGGCATTCGGCTTGCCAGACTGGGGGCCCTTTAGCTTCGTCTGGAGCTTGCTGATCTCCGCGGTCTGCGCCGCCATGTCGTCGCGCAGCGCCATGTTCCTGCCGACGCCGCCGCCGTCGCCGGAGCCGCGGCCGCGGGACGGCATCCTCTCTTCACGGAGCTCCCGCCCCTCCTTCGTGAGCTTCGACTCCTGGCGCAGCTCGGCCTGGGCGCGCTCGACCAGCGTCGGACGCACCATCTGGGGCCCCCTCGTCTCTGGGGCCCCCCTGCACAGGTACTCGACTTCCAGGTACTCGTCGCCGCTGCTCATCAGCAGCAGCTCGCGATGCCACCACTCCGCCAGCTCCGCGCGGCGCGCCAGGAGCGCGCCCAGCGACAGCTCAGTCAAGTTCAGCTGGTCGAGGCTTGCCCCCAGCCCCAGCGCGCGCAGCGCCTGCTCGTGGTCTGAGACGCCGACGTCGGCCGAGCCAAGGACATCCGCGCGCGCGCCACTTGGGGTGGCGCGCGCGCGGGCGTGCGTCCTGCTCCGCCAGGAAGCGGGCACACCACCGCGCAGTGCGGGGGCGCTTCGCCGGCCACCCTGACCAGGCCGTCTCCGACATCGCACGCAGAACGTCCTTGAAGACGCCCCTCCTCTCGCCGTCGAGCCCGTGCATGATCGGCATCACGCGAGCGTCCATCGAGCTCCCGGCTTGCTGCTCCGTCGCAGTCGTCACCAGGTAATATGTCCCGGCCGCCTTCGACATCGCGAGCGAGTCGCACAGGGCGCACCACTCGCAGCTGTCGAAATCGGCGATCACATTCACGTCGCTGTCGTCGTCACTGGCCGTGATCAGCCAGCGTCTGTTGTCACTCGCCACCAGGCAGCCCGAGCCGTGTGCCCGCTTATCAGGAGGAGTCGCTGTCTCGCTCACTGGGCTCGGCCCCTCTCGGAGCGTGGCCACCGCCGCCTCCTCCGCCTCCTGTCCCGACTTCGCATCACAGGAGTCGGGGAGGTCCATGACCTCCAGCTCGTGAGGGCAGACGTCCTCGTCTGAAGTCGCTGCCATCCACCTCGTACTCGGCAGATTCCTCGGGACTATTCCGAGCTCGCTCTCGAACTCGGCGCCGAGCACCTGACAGACACAGGTCGGAAGCCGAACCAGGGAGGGCGAGAGACCGCAGCGAGCTGTGCGAGTGGGGCACCGAAACCATCGTTTACGGACAGCGATAATAGCGAATCGCGTTCCTTCATGGCCTAACGGGCCTTATTTAAACTGGAGAATCGGGGGCGCAACCCCAGTGAGTCCATCGGGCCAGGGATCAGCAGATCTGAGGAGGAAGGTGGAGGTCGGCTGTCCACTGGGGCGCCGGGTCGGCGTCTGGCCGGGCGCGGCGGGGCAGGCGCGGTCGGGTGCCCGGGGGCGAAGTCAACGCAGAGCCGTAGACGCGCGCGTGGTCGGAATGGGGCGCGCTGGTACACAGCGACAGGGCGGGGCCCTATAGCCATGCGCGGGAGCGCTTGTCCCCGCGCCCGTCGCCGCCACCGTCGCCGCCACGTTTGCCTGCTGCCTGCCAGTCGTCGGCGCCCAAGCACCGCCCCCATGCCCATGAGGCCCAGACTCAGGGTTGGCGGGAGCTTGTGGCGCATCCCCTGTGCTGCTGGGCACTGGTACCCTGGTGCCATGACCACTTGTCGCGCTCCAGGTCCCAATTAACTTGTAGCTCGTGCTGGTGATCCATCTCGCATGCGTCGCACCAGCAGCGCTTCCAGGCGTCGAGGAAAGCGCGGCGCGTGCTCTCGGGATTGAGAGCGGTGTCACTCGACTCTTTGGGCCGTTGGCAGCAGGGAGTCTCCGAGTATAAGCGTGCCAAATGCTGCTGCATACCCCCCGAGGGTCTTTTGAAGACGGGAGATCTTGGCCGCGGGTGGCCCCGCGAACTCGTCGAGATCAAATACCCGCCTGGGGCCCCATTCGCGGGGGCTAGCGAGCGGCGGTTTTGAGCTCCGGCGATGGGGGGCGGCCCGGGGGTCCGAGGCGGGCGCGCCAGAGCTGCCTGTCTGCGAGCAATGGTCGCGCCACCCCGTGGGGGGGGCGAGCGGCTGCCGGACGCTCCCGCTGGGGCACTGTTGTCCGCCGGTTTGTGAGCTGGCGAGGGATGCCGCTGCGGGAGGTCGCGCGTCGCCATGGGCGGCGGGCTGGCGCTGGCCATCCCTCTCGGCTGGCGCCGCTCTGGCGGCCCCTCGCCGAGGCGTCTGGCGTTGCTGAACGCACCCAGCGAGTCATAGGGAGGGCTGCTTCCAGCTTTTGCATCGGCTGCTCCAGGAGCAGGGGGAGGTGGGGAGCCCCCAGGGCCGATCGCGCCGTCTGGCGCACGACGAGGAGGCGCCGCGGGAGACGGGGGGGCGGCTCCACCTTTTTCCTTCATCGAAATCAATCCCTTCAACCTCCGCCTTGACGGTAGGTGCCGGGCTCGTCGGGGAGCAAGCCTCTTCTCCTGGGGGGGAGGGGCCCGTCGCTTCGGGGCCTGTCACTGGGGGGATGATGCGGTCTGCCCCGGGCGCTGACAGCCAGCCGCCGCTGCTGGCTGGGCCGGGCCCGGGGCCAGCAGCCGCTGGGGGAACGTCGCGCGCCGACCCCGCAGTGCGCCCGGGGCCCGGCTGCAGCCGGGCAAGCGTGGATCCCCGGGCGGGGCGTCGGCGTCGCAAGCGCAAGGGGCCGCGGGGTCCTGCTCCGCCAAGGTAGCGATGGAGGTGGTAGCGAGAGTGCTGGAACCCAGGCTGGCGATGAAACCCGCGAGGACAGTGAGGCCGCGACGGAAGGGCTTCTGCCCCCGGGGCAAAGCGGCACTCCGGAGGAAAGTCGCCCACGAGTGTTGATACGTGGGACTGCGCAGCAGATGCCTGACTACCCTGGCCGCGGCCCACCTCTTGCCCTCCCAAGTGGCCCCAGCGGGGAGTCCGCCGTCGGGGGTCTCGGGGCCACGCACCCCGCGCAGGAAAGGGGCCAGCTGGCGAGCCGCCCACGAGGTCCCCTGATCGCTCGGGGCGGGACTGTCGGCGCCGCACCCCCGGACAGAGTCCATCCATTCGTCGCCCAGCGTTGGGTGGTAGTCTCGCGAGAAGGCGA